TACTGCATTCCAAATCCATATAGATATCATGCTCATAGGACATCATTATTACGCCTAGGCAAGCCTTAGGTAACTACTTAAATAAAAACTAGAATTGCCTTTGTTAAGTACCAACTGCTACAATCAGCAGGCATGCCTGATTCAAACTTCTTTTCTGAGTTATATAATGAATCTGGTTCTGACTCAAACTCTGCTTTAAGATTTTATAATTCAGACCTTAAGTGTGTTTAAGTCGTGCTATTTATGTGCTTTATTTGCGGAGGTATACATGAGCCTTACAACTGCTTACATGTTTCCCTCTAAATGTAGTCCTACGTGTTTTTTTTGTATGTCGCCTAGCCTTTTTACTTTTAAACCTAAGAGTCAGCCTAAAATCCTCCCTCTTAGGAATAGTAGTCCTAAAAATTCCTTCGGGACTGATAGGAAAGGGACGGGTAATAGCATGAAATAGAGGTCGAGACCAATCCGCGCTTTAATACATTAACAGGATGGGAATGGTAGATATGAATATGATGACCGGTGCGCTAATACCACGTGTATCCCCTCTTTTGAGGAGTGTCATACCGGGTATTGCATTGAGGTGATCCATATTATAAATAAACCTAGGACCCCCTTTATTCTTTTTTACAAACATGTTTAGCTTATAACTCTTTCATACCTTGCCTTTCAATAATTGTTTTCAAATGCTTGTGTGTGTTTAACTTAAATCCCCTCTTACTTGAGCCTTACTTGATTACTTACTAATTTGCACAAATTCACAAAAGAACTATCTGGCCGGGAACCACACTAGTGGATTCTGAGGGGTGCCTAACACCTTTCCCTTGGAATAATTTCAAGCCCTTACCCAATCTCTGGTTATTAAATATAGTTGTAAATGAACTATGTAGGTGTCCTATTGCGCCTCAAACCATTAGGTGGCGATTCTTCAAAATACCCAACTCCCAAAGAGGAAAATGAGTCATTATACCCCATGAATGTCAAAATCCGGAAACTCCTTTCCATTTGGAAAGGGGGGAAAAGGGGGGGCGCGACAACTGCATTCATCCTTATAAGGGCCAATTGTTCATAGCGGCTCCTTATCCATTCTGCATCGCTGAGTTCGTCTTCCTGTATGATCCTTAAAGAAGGTATCTCTACCTCGACTGGGATGATAGCTTCGGTACCATAAACCAGCATGTAAGGAGTTGCCCCAGTTGATGTGTGAACTGTAGTGCGGTAATCCAACAAAGCAAAGGGTAGCTTCTCGTGCCATTGTTTGTGGTTTTCTACCATCTTCCTTAGTATCTTTTTGATGTTTTTGTTGGCAGCTTCTATGTCTCTATTCATCTGAGGTCTATAGGTTGTGGAATTCTTATACTTGATTTTGAAAGTGCCACACATGGCTTTCATCATACCACTGTTGAAATTGGCGGCATTATTAGTGACAATAGACTCGGGAACTTCGAATCGGCAAACAATACGATCTTTGACAAAGTCTGCGACGACTTTCTTGGTTACAGCTTTGTAAGTTGCAGCCTTTACCCATTTTGTGAAGTAATCACTGGCTACCAGAATAAACCTGTGCCCGTTTGAAGCAGTAGGGTCGATGGGACCGATGACATCCATTCCTCAAGCGGCGAATGGCCAAGGTGAGTTTGTTGCATTGATCTCATTTGGCGACACTTTTATCATATCGGCATGCACTTGGCATTGGTATCATTTGTGGACATACTGGATGCAATCTTTCTCCATGGTCATCCAAAAGTAACCGGCCCAAAGTATCTTCTTGGCCAAGACAAAACCATTCATATGCGGGTTGCAGGTCCTAGCATGTATATCCTCAAGTAGTTTAGAAGCTTCTTTTGTGTCGACACATCTTAGCTATCCCAAATCAGGAGTTCTTCTATACAAGTTTCCTCCGTTGTGGAAGAAGTGATTGGTCAATCTTCGGAGCGTGCGTTTCTGAGTGTGGTTTGCATGCTCCGGATATTCTCCTTTCGCCAAATACTCTTTGATGTCATGGAACCAAGGTTTTCCATCTGTCACTTCTTCAATGTGGGCACAATATGCCGGTTGATTATGAATTCTCACTAGGATGGGATCAATGAAATTCTTGTCTGGATGTTGTATCATAGATGACAAGGTGGCCAATACATCGGCAAACTCATTCTGAATTCTGGGTACATGCCGAAACTCTATCTTCGTGAACCTCTTTCTCAATTCCTATACATGGTGCACATATGGCAATATCTTGGAATTCTTAGTGTCCCACTCTCCTTGTACCTGGTGCACAAGCAAATCTGAATCACCGATGACCAGCAGCTCCTAAATATTCATGTCGATTGCCATGTTGAGTCCCAGTATGCAGGCTTCATACTCCGCCATGTTGTTGGTGTAGGAAAATCTAAGCTTAGCAGATACCGGATAATGTTGACCTGTTTTTATACCAATACTGCTCTGATGCCCACTCCTTTAAAATTTGCAGCTCCGTCGAAGAACATCCTCCAACCGTCGAATGCTTCGGTAATGTCCTCTCCTACGAATGACACCTCTTCATCAGGAAAATACGTTTTTAGGGGTTCGTATTCTCCTCCCACCGAATTTTCAACAAGATGGTCTGCTAATGTTTGTCCCTTGACTGCCTTTTGAGTTACGTAGACAATATCAAACTCACTCAACAATATCTGTCACTTGGCTAGTTTCCCAGTTGGCATGGGTTTCTGAAATATGTACTTCAAAAGATCCATCCTGGATATGAGGTATGTGGTATAGGCACAGAAGTAATGCCTCAGCTTTTGGTCCATCCGAGTCAAAGCACAACAAGTGCATTCTAGTAGAGAATACCATGCTTCGTAAGGTGTGAATTTCTTACTTAGGTAGTATATGGCTTGCTCCTTCCTCCCTGTCTCGTCATGTTGTCCCAGAACACATCTGAAGGTTCTATCCAATACAGATAGATAGAGTATCAAAGGTCGTCCTAGTTCTGACGGGACCAAGACCGGTGGTGTGGACAAGTACTCCTTGATTTTGTCGAAAGCCCTCTGACTATCCTCGGTCCAGCTTGTTTCAACATCTTTCCTCAGCATCTTAAAGATGGGTTCACATATGACTGTAGACTGTGATATAAAGCGATTGATATAGTTGAGACGTCCTAGGAAGCTCATCACGTCCTTTTTGGTCATAGGCAGTGGTAATTCCTGAATGGCCTTAACTTTAGACGGGTCCAGCTTGATCCCTCAGCGACTGACATTGAATCCCAGTAGCTTTCCTGCGGGAACCCCGAATGCACACTTTGCGGGGTTCAGCTTTAAGTTGTACCTCCTTAGCCTATCAAAGAACTATCTGAAGTCCGCTATGTTATCCGCGACCCTCTTAGATTTGATAATGACATCGTCCACATACACCTCTATTTCTTTGTGTACCATATCATGGAATATGGTTGTCATGGCCCTCATGACCAAATGGCATCATTTTGCAAGAGTATACCCCCATGGTGTAATAAAAGCGATTTTCTTTGCGTTATCTTCATCCATCCAGATCTGGTGATAATCTGCGAAGCAATCTACAAAATATTGGAGTTCATGCTTGGTGTAATTGTCGATCAGGATGTGTATGTTTGGCAGTGGAAAGTCATCCTTGGGACTTGCTCTGTTTAAATCTCGATAGTCAACACATATTCTAACTTTTCCATCTTTCTTTGAAACTGGCACAATGTTGGCTAACCAAGTTGGGTACTCAACAACCCTCAGAACTTTGGATTTGATATGCTTAGTGACTTCCTCTTTGATTTTCAGGCTCATATCTAGTTTGAATTTTCTGAGTTTCTGCTTTACTGGCGGACACATGGGATTGGTAGGCAGCTTGTGAGCCACTATGGACTTGCTCAAACCGGTCATGTCATCATATGACCATGCAAAAATGTCCTCATATTCCTTTAAGAAGCGAATGTACTCTTCTTTCTCTGTTGGTGATAAGTGAATGTTGATGCAAGTCTCCTTGACGGTCTCGGCGTCCCCCAAATTTACTGCTTCGGTTTCGTCCAGGTTGGACTTAGGCTTATTCTCAAAGGTTTCAACCTCTCTGACAACTTCCTCAGGTATCTCATCTTCTTTATCCGAATCACTATCCTCATGTTGCGTTGTCTCGTTACATGTCACAGTCACCGGTTCATCAGGAAAAGTAATAATAACGCTGTAAAAAGAAAAAAAATGGAAGATAATAATGAATAATAAAGAGCAATGCATTTGATTAAAACTGATAAACATTTGAACAAGTACGGCTCGATGAATCGAGCATTTATTTTGAAACAAGTGAGTCTTTAAAACAAAATTACTGAAAATCTTAGATGACTAGAATGGCTATAGAAATAAAATCTACCAAGTGTTATACCCCATTTTAACACGGGTCAAACTAGAGTATAACATATTGGTAATTCTGCGGGTTTAATTAGTTTAAGAGAGTCGCCATCTATTATTTTAACGGTGAATTGGGACACCAATTTTAGCTAAATAGTGCTTAAAATTAATTCTGTTTTATGGTCTACTTAACCTTTAAGGCTATGGGTAAGGGTTCTAATTAATTTTATAGAGAAAGTATTAAGCACTCTATATGATCCATTAAATATAGTTAACCGGTCGAACTTAGGTTAATTGATTGCACTAAACTATAAGTGTAAATACTCAAATATTAAATAGTCGACAGATGTTTAAATAATTCAAGAATCTCTAAAAAAAATTAGCCTTCTTTAAAAGGGTTCGAAATTAGTGTCAAGTTAATTAGGCCTTTAACAGCTTTAGTATGATTGTTTTGTTTGAAATCCATTAAACTTAGTCTTAAAAAGTTTCTTGGTTAAAAAATAAACCAAAGCCAAAAAAGAAAAAAAAAACTTAGACATTAGAAAAGAACTACTTTTTAAGTTAGAAACTCAAATCTGGATACGTTATTCATATCAAAAGTTCTACCAAAACCCTGGCAGACTCCAAATCCATAAGTGTTCATGGGTTAGAAAGTAGAAATAAAGAGAAGGTTTCAAGTCTTCATCTAATTTAATGTTAGTCCTATGTGATGAATGAGTACTTTATTTAGCAAAAATACTAAATAATTAAATAAACTTAATTACCAAAACTCATGCTAAATATGAGATAAGCACAAATACAAATAAATCATCTGTAATCAAGAAGTTAGACAACATGGATGTAAAGAAAGACGCCATAGGTGCCCCCAAGCGTTTCACATGTTTTTCTCGCTATCCGGTGCATCTAAAGAATGAGAGGCATTGACTCCACGTGCGGGTATGGGAGAGTCTTGCTTAAGACTCCATGATTTGCTCCAAGTGCATATGCAAACAAAGGAAAAAAAGGAACACAGAATTAGAGGGAAAATTTAGTACTATGTAATATACAAAAATCAAAGACCCAAAATAAGCATATCATTCCTTCTTTGGTTTTGCAACAATCCACAAGCTATGTCCCCAAAAAAGTATTTTAAAGTCTTAAAGCATTGGGTCTAAAGGGAAGTTTAACAATATGGTTCGAATAAACACCTTATAATCCTATGGCCAATGATATTTAGATCTTTCCTAAAAAAAAATTCTTTTCGACAATCCCAGATAACAAATTCCAGCAGAGTAACGCGCTTATGAAGCCAAAGTAAGTAAGAACACTAACTAAGACACGCCAAAATGTTAATAAATCGAGTATAAACTGCTGAACTTGTAAGCAAGTCATTTAACTACATGAACACATTTAGGCCTTCATATAACCAAGATCTCTAGCATGTAAAAAAAAATTCTCAGACTCGTTTATAGTTGTTGTCTATTACAAATATTTAAAATAGCTCTAGCCTAAACTAAAATTGATGTATCCTACAATGGCAAAAGTATTTGTAATAGCATACTATTGCAAGTTAATTCCTTAAACTTAGCCAAATTTAACAAGCTAGAGTGACTTAATTTAGTACATATGTCCAAACCATATACAGACTTCATGAAAAGTAGTTAAGGGGAATAGAAATGAAAATGGTTTGTAATAACATAGAAGAAATAAAACAGGAATAGCTTACAGCTTGTTGCACGTTCTCCAACTCTATAACAAGACATAATGCAAATCTTTATTTAAAGTTTAGACATGGATTTTAATCTTTCCCAATATTCATTTTTTAGGCAGTAACTCTAACACGTATATATCTAAAAAACGATACTAAACCACCATTCTTCACACAAAACAAACTAAATTGATCCGTAGCTCGCACTCAAATCAAACAAATATTCATTTCAGACCTTAAGCAGAAGAGATAAATTTAAAGTCACCGACCTTTTTGTGGGCAGCGAACGGGGCGTCGTCAAGAAGATCTACTATCTTCGGCTTTCATTCAACTCTTTTGGAAGATCGTCAAATACCGACACAAATAAAAATAAAATCTTTGGCAAGGTTATAGACTAGATAGAGATCAAAAGGCAGAAAAACTTAAAGCTAGATTTTAAGAGTAAGAAGGAGGATAACTATGAATAGTTGGCCAAACAATTAGGGTTAAGGGAGATAGAAAGGGCGGCCAACCTATTCCCAAAAATGAGTTTCAAAGCAGATATTTATAGATAGAAGTTAGGGTTCTTGAGCAGGATTTTTAAAATCATATTTGAATTTTGGTCAACATACCCGTTTGAATTTGAAACGTTGGGAATTTTGGACAGAATTTGCAGACTTCACGTGATCTCAAAATAGGAGCAAAAGTCTTACTCGAATTGGAAAGTCAGAGCTTTGTCATGGCTTATGCAGATGTCGGGCTTTCACCAGAAAAGGAAGATAGGGAAGAAGCACATTAAAACAAAATCAAAGAAAAAGTTACTGATTGGTCATATGCAGGCGGGCTTGGTCTTATAGTGTGGGCTGGATGGATTGGAAGGTGGTTGGGTAACGCATAGGCTTGTTGGGATGCCCCTTTAATGGGCTGATGAATAACCCTCTTCTTTCAAGTGTTAGGCTGGATCATGAAAAATGATTTGTATGCTAAATAGGCTAAGGATTAACTTCTATAGATTGAGCCAATATAATCGGCAGAGTTAAAATAACCATTTCCTTCTTCCTTGCATTTTCTTTGGGCTTCTTACTTGAATTAAATTTTATTATAATATTGAACAAATCATTAAAATACTTAGAATGCCAGAGTAAATTATAATAGCTCGTATTTAAATAAATAAAATAATTATAAGATATTATGAGATTTAATAAATAACTATTACACTAATTTTTTAAATAAAATACTATAATATTAAGTATTTATTTGTAATTGTTAAATTAAGCAGATATTACTATTTGATTAAATAAGGAGAAAGGGTATGATTTTCACAATAAATAAAGAGAATAATTTTGGAATGCATGATGGTGGTAAAAATAATAATTGTAACTATAATTACAATAATTAGTAATAATAGTACTAATATTTTAATAATAGAAAATAGGCCTAATTTGGTGTTAAAATTACTCGAATAAGTGATGCTAGAAGCTCAAATAAATATTTTGGAAGAAAGAGGGACAAAATTGGATGCCAACACCAAGCTATATAGGGACTTGGCGGGCCCGGGATGGTGTGGTGGTCCAGTTCCTAAGAATAGCTCCCTTCTCCACAGTTTGAATAGTGAGGCCTTCTTCCTCTTCCTCCTCAATTATTGCACTACAGTCCATATCTTCATCCTCCAAGAACAGATTCCTCAGCCCAGCTAATGCTTCTTCTTCTGCAGTTCCCCAGATTGTATCAGCTTGGTGAAAAGCTTGATCCAGATGTGGCACTGGTTGCTCGATAGGGTAATATGGTCCACGCCATAGAGGCGACCAATCATTATACTCTTGCCATGTATACTGGTATCCGAGCCCGAAGGTAGTACCATGACGCTTCAGCTGTATCGGTTTAGTAATACCGTGGAGATTCTTCCCAAGCCCTTTGTCGGGTTCATACCCAGACCACGCAATATGCTTTCTATTTTGCTACTCCACCATTTGTCTTTCTCAATGACATTGACACGTTCGATGTGATGACAAGTTTCCCCTCCTAACCTTTTTTTATTTCCAATAACTGAGATGGTTTGACTGATGTAAATGGGGTTACTCTCATCTCCTGAATGATCACCTCCTGATGGTTACATTCAAATTTCACGGCTTGATGTAGTGTGGAAGTCACGGCCCCAGAGGCATGTATCCATGGTCGGCCCAACAGAAGATTATATGAGGCTTATATGTCGAGCACCTGAAATTCAACGTCGAACCAAGTTGACCCCATCTATAGACAAAGATTAATTTCCCCAATTGTGGCCCTTTGAGACGCATTGAAGGATTTCACGTTCATGCTTCCTGCCCATATTTCATGGAAACCTTTGCCCAATCTTTTTAGAGTATCCAACGGACAAATGCTGAGGCTTGAACCCCCATCAATCAAGACCCTGGCGATGAATTTGTCTTCGAATTGCACTGTGATATGCAATGCTTAGTTGTGATTCAACCCTTCAGGTGGCAGCTCATCCTTGTGGAAGATTATTTTGTGACTTTCCAACACCTACCCTACCATATTGGCCGTCTCTCCACCGGTGATATTGTTGGGTACATAAACTTCACCTAACACCTTCATCAAAGCATTCTTGTGTGACTTTGAATTTTGCAATAGTGATATGATGGATATCTGAGCCGAGGTTTTGTTCAAATGATCAATGACGGAATATTCCCTTGCTTGTACTTTCCTCCAAAGATCATCTGGTTCCGTTTCAATGATAGGCTACTTGATAGTGGCATCCTTACTTGGTCTTCCCAAGTGTTCAGGTGTATAGATTCTCCCGGTCCTAGTCATTCCTTGCGCAGAATCGGATTGATCCATCTTTGCCTTTCTTTTAGCCTAGCTTCGGCAACATAATCCCAGGGTATTGCTTTTGAGTCGAAAGGAGGTATGGTCAATACTGTCACCATGAAAGGTGTAGCCACTTCCACTTCAAATGGAACAGGGGTGGCCACAGGTGGAGCTACCTCTACCTCAAATGGAACTGATGCAGCTATCTCAACCTCGATCGGTGACTGAGTCTGCACTACTATGGGAGTAAGTGTGATTGCAAGTTTAAAGTCATCGCCTTCTCGAATGAGCCCGATTGACCCCTCGGGATCCCATTCTTCATCCATCTCGATCACATGTATCCTGCCACCCCTATGATCCGGTAGAGGGTTGTTGCGGATATTGGGTGCAACTTTTTTTGCCTGTATAACCTTGTTATCAATCAGTATCTGGATTTTGTCTTTCAATGTCCGACACTCGTCAATGGTGTGCCCTTTTATACAGGAATGGTATGCACAGGTTTTGTTCAGGTTGACCCATTGTGATGGATTCTCTAATGTCATAGCGAGAATATGGGTGACGTAACCAGCGGATTTCAACCTTTCATATAGTTGGTCGATGGGTTCAGCAATAGCGGTGTATATTCTAGGTGGCTTGTAGTCAAAATTGGGTCATGGTCTTGGATAATTTTTGTGAGTTGGAGGTGACTGTAAATGAGATGGTTGGAAATTATAGGTATGAGCTGGTTGGGAGTATCTGGGAGATGAGGGTTGGTATGTGGGTGGTGGTGCTTGGTATGTGGGTGGAGGTATTTGATATGTGGGTGGGGATGTTTGATATGTAAGTAGAGATTTCGGGCCTTGAGCCACTATTACAGCCTCAACATCTCTTTTCTTCGATATGACGTTTGATTGTAATGCCTTATTTGTGGCCTGTAATGCCTCAAAGTTTGTTACTATCCCGCTCTTGATGCCTTCTTCGATTCTTTTTCCGAGTTTGATGATGTCAGAGAATTTATGATTTTCAATAACCATCAACCTTTCAAAATATTGTGGATCATGTGCTCTGACGAAGAACTTGTTCATCTGTTCCTCGTCCAAAGATGGTCTGGCCTTGGCTGCTTCTGACCTCCAACGGGTAGCATAGTCGCGAAAAGTCTCGATGGGCTTCTTCTTAAAGTTATGAATGTAGAAAACATCTGGTGCATTTTTTGTGTGGAACCTAAATCGGTCCATGAAATCAGACGCCATACTCACCCAGTTGGACCATTTCTTAGGATCCTGACTGATGTACCAGGACAAAGCATCTCCTGTAAGACTTCTCATAAAGAGGTTCATTCGGATCCTTTCATTCTTTTCGACCCCGACAAGTTTGTCACAATAGGTCCTTAGATGAACCCTGGGATCACCTGCATTGTCAAACATCTCGAACTTGGGAGGTTTGTATCCCTCTGACAGTTCTACATCCAGTTGTATGCATAGATCTTCATAATTCAAACCTTCTATCCCTTTGCCTCCTTCGACACCCTGAACTCGACTTGACAACTTCTTGAGTTCCTCAACCATGTTCTTGATGAGCAGGTCCTTCTCAGTGGATTTTGGTGTATAAGAAGTTGGTTGGATAGAGTGAGGTACGGTTTCCACATATATAGGGTTGTTTTGGTGAGTGCCAGATGCCTGGGTGTAGTGATGGTCATTGATTGAGTTTTGAGGATCAGGAATAGGTTATGGTGTGTTCTGGGGAGTGTCATAAGTGGTGGTTGGTAGGTATTGGATTGGTTGATGGTAGTGTTGTGACGGAGTTGGTATCGGTAAGGGATTGAGATTTTGGGGTGGGATTGAATATTGATGCGGTGCACGAGGGTTTTGTGGATGTTGGTTTGGTGTGTTTTGGTGAGGTGTTGGGTTCTTTGTGTTTTGTTGGTTGATGTCGGCGATAGTCAGAGTGAGGGATAAGTTTGCCAAGTTGCATACCTGCTCAAGCTCTCCTTGTAGCTCCAGTATCTTTTGTTCCAATCTTAAAACTAGATTATTTGGTGCCGGAGTACTCCGACCGTCTGAAGTTTCTGCATTTTCCACATTCTCTTTTCGAATACCACTTAAATCATCCATTTTAACTTTCCCTTTGCTCTTTGTATTTCTTGGAAGAGGAGGGGGTGGAGGGCATCTAGATCTGGTGTGATATGCTGATGATGGTAGTATGAGCGAATCAACCTTAGGGGATGGGAATAAAGAATAAAGAAAAACAAAAGGTAAACAAGTCCGTAAGGATTCTGAAATATTTGCAGTATTTAAACACATATTGTGGGAATGTAAATTTGCGTCCTAATTTGGGAACCTCGTTGTGCCCGAGGTAGGCCTAGCGACAAAATAAATTTGGAGAAATTTAGTGCCAATAATTGCCTCATTTCATTAATGTAAAAGTAAACAACCCAAAACGAAACTAAATGAGATAATGTTGCTAATGGCACTTGGCCTTATTGCATTTAAAAAGAAAGCGAGTAAATCTAGTCTACTTGGTCCCAAAAGGACCCTCTCCAGACCGGATGCTATTGTCAATCAACTTTCCCAACTCGCGCAGGTTCAGCAGTAGGAATGCCCTTGCCAGATGCCCTCCTTCATTTCCTTCAGCGTTCTGACAGTGAATGACCCTCTTCTGCATCTTTCCTTCTAATTCCATTAAACTGTACTCCAAATATTCCAGCCGTTCGCTAGATTTAACAGCTCTTTCTTTCCATTCGTTAATCATCTCCATGTCAGCCTTATGTTGCGCCATATGCTCAGCTTCAGACTCTCGAACTCTTTTCCGCAACTTGTTGTACTTCAGCTCTGCTTCAGCAAACTCATCTATGACCTTATTTCCTGGACCAACCCTTGGCTCAAAAACTCCTGATAGATTATCATCTAACCATGAGGGGTAATAGTATGAATGGCCCGCATGGTATCGGTCCGGATCGATGGTATCCTTCTCCACAATGATCTTCAAAGTCCACATATGTTGCGCTTCATTCTTATATGGGATGGTGTTACCTTAGAAATCGGCTCTGAAGTGGCTCATCTTAGCAACCCGTGGTATGACTTGTCTCCTACCTGCCTGTCTCATAACTTTAAGGGGAGCATAAGGTATATCCCTCTTAACCCGATCAGCA